ATACAAATATTGCAGCAAAAAAGGTCAACGAATTATACAATTGTGAATTATACAATTGCAGTGAAATACAATTTTCTCTCGCTTTATACAATAGAAGTGTATATATTGTGTTTCTATTTTTGTATAAAGCGAGAGAAAAACATATACATTCTTCCTACACACTTATAATTATGCAATATACATACATTTTACTTCGATTCAATTGTATGCAAAACAAATTTTATTCAAATATTGCAGTGACATAGGCAGCGAATTATACAATTGTGCATTATACAATTGCAGTGAAATAGAATAGCGAATTATACAGTTGCAGCGAAATAGACCAGCGAATTATACAATTGTATATATATAGCGAATTATACAGTTTTATGTTTGCTATGGAACACAATTATGCAAATTTTGCTATAACATACAAATATAAATTTTTTATTTGCTATATGTGAAAATTGCCCAATTAAATCCATTTCTCAAAATATACAATTACATACTTAATGTATACAGTATTATAAATATAATTCGAGAAAAATAACCTCTACATAAATTTTATTCCTATTTCCTAAACATTGAGAAATTGTTTCCAATATTTTAAATAATAGAACACATGTGAGAACTTGTCCAATACATAATAACAAACATTCTAATCTCACTTTTGATTAAATTTCCATTTTTTCAAAATGTATAACAACAACATATTTAATATACGTAATTTTATAGATAAAGGTTTTAGAAGAGCAACATATAAAAAGAATTGTTTATTTTTATTTTATAAAGATTAAAAAAAAAATCGATGTATATTTTGATTTATCATTATACATGCGAGAACTATCCAATATATCAAAAATATTCTGACTTCACTTCTGCTTAAATTTTTCGTTTTCCAAATGATACAGCAATAACAATAATAACGTCTTCAAAGTACGTAATATGTAACGTGCACGCAAATTTTATTTTTATCTTATATAAAGATCAAAATATTAATTAACAACCATAACGTACACAAAATACGTAATCTTATAAATTAAATTTGTAATAAATAACATATTCGAAATAGAAAAACTATTTCTCAAATATTTTAATGAATTACAAACACAAGTGAGAACTTAGTCCAATACATGACAAATACACACAAACAAACTAATTTCATAAAAGGACAGAATCATAATATTTATGAGAACTCACATATCACTTCACATTTCACAAATTGGAAAAATTATTTGGAATACACATAAATAAATTAAGAAAAAGACATGCATACATGCAGAATAATTTTTCTTTTTTAGACAATTCAATGGAGTTTGCGTATAAAAGATAGTCAACAGTAATAATATATATAGTAATAATTAATTAATTAATTAATTAGTACTACTTTTACTATTTTGAGATACTGCTACAAACCTATAGTACTCTTATTCATAAATCCCATCATGGATCCTTCATAAATGAATTTGAATTTTTTTTAATTTTATTTTTGGAGAAAATAATAAATATAGTCCTTTAGGATAGATTCAAAATGTCAATTTGATATATTAATAATTCATTAGATTTAATAGGAATTATGAAAAATATTTGTTGATATATATATATAGAATCTTCAATTTATTAGCTCAAGAGTATGAAACTAAAATATTATACTAGTAAAGAGCATTTTTTATGTGAAGTTTTAATGAAAAATTAGATGGGATAATCATTTTTTTGAATTGACAATATTAAAGTTTATTCATGGCTTCAAATGTAAATGAAAAGCAACTACTTTTTTTTTTTTTGAAGCAGGATTTATCGTGAAGTTAAATACTTTTCAGTTTAAATTTTACGTGGACATCTGTTGAAGTATCGAATTTCATGAATAATTCATAGAGTTCAAATCTTAATCAGTTTAAATTCTAGGAATGATTCATAATAAATAACTATCACAAAATGAAAAATTATTTAATAAAAAATACTTTTTTGTTAATCAGTTATAATGTGTGAACCTGAATTAATCGTAACAGTCTAATCACGAAAAAAATAAACACTAATACTAACCTAGTATTTTTTTTTATCAGATAATTAACAGAAAAAAATGTGAGTCCCCATGCATGAATTCTTATTCTCTATTCATATATTTACCGTACGTTAAAGGGTAAAAGATGTATTCACTGTAAAAATTGCTGCCTTGTTATGTCACTTTTTGTTTACTTTCTTTTTTTATTTGTTTTTTGATATTTTTTTTAGTTGTTATATTAAAATATTGTTATTATAAATAAAAAGTGTATAATATAAAATAATATGCTAGAGCATCACAAAAGAAAAAATTGATTATAGTGAAATATATAGAAAATAATTATTATAGTCAACAGTAGTATATTTAATATCGTATTATTATAATCTAACAATAGAACAAAACTTGTAACTAATTTGCTATCACATGATAAGTCGTATTAATAACATAATTCTTTTTGTTATGTTAAAATATTTCTAAATTTAACTTTAGAATGTTTTTCTATTATTTGACATGTGTTATTTGAATCGAACTTTTTTTAGAAATAAATTTTTTATCTTCACGTGATAAAAATTACAATGTGTATACTTTATTCTTATATATATTTTTATTTTTTATTCGGTGATTGACATTCATATTAGAGTTCAATTAAATTCGAATTTTCACATCAAAAATTTTTACAATGACGATAAAATATTTTCTAACAAATGTAACTGTATCAAAAGACTCACAAAAAAATACTCACTTACTATGTTGTTGTTGTTGAAAGCATTTAATGACATTACCAAAATAAAATGCCTATAAATTGTAGTAACTAATTAATTTTTTAATAGTTGCATGCATGTAACATGCCTAGTCTATATATATATGAAGAAAGGGATTATCAGAATCTCATTTATTACTCATCAGTCTTTTCATTTTAATAAATTAAATAACCTATAAAAAAATAATTTATCATATATTTATTTCCATTTTTTCCATCTCTATATAAACACCAATCCATCTTTTCATATTTCTATCAATCCTATTTCATTCACCTTCTTTCACTTCACATAATACTAAAATTTCCTTATATTTATAGTCTTTTCAATAAAATAAAATCATGTATTATAATTTTCTATTATCTTACACATTTCTAGTAAATATTATTATTTATCCACTTTCTTATAATTACGAACGAGACAAGTATTCATGTAATTTGTTGACGAGTTGCAAGAAGAATGGTTTTTCGAGGCTTGAACGATTGTAGGTCTCTGTTGGTGCTATCCTAATTGAGCTTGTAATTTTATTTTTTTTCTTTTCCATACTTCCTTTTTGCTCTTTTTCTTGACCTTGCAAGGCTTTTCTCAAGTTATTGCTCGAGTCATCTTCTGTTCCGTACTTTTTACGCAGTTCAAATCTCCCACCTTCTCTTTCTTTAGCTATTCCTTCTGAGCTTAAACTAAAAGTGTTTCGTTATCTCTTGCGATGCTCGTGAAAGAAGATAATTTTACGAGTTTTTTAAGTGTTGTACAAATATTAGAAAAATGATCACGTGAGAGATTAGATAGAGTATGTTGGTTCATTATTTTGTAATTTTTTTAAACTTATAGTTTGGGTAATATATATATTATTGTATCAAGAACTTCTTATCAATGTATATTATAATATTAATGTTGTAGATTTGAGCTGTTAATTAATATTGTGATTGATGTATACATTGAAGTGATATACATATAATTCAACATTAATGTTATCTTTACACTGTCAATATTGATGTAAAATTATTTTTATATCTGAAAATTAGAGAAATAAATCTATAATATAACCTAACTATTAGACTAAATTATGACACAAATAATGAAAAATTACATCTCCTACCTTTATGTTTACTTACAATTATTGGACTTATATATATATATGTGGTATGAAATTTATTTTCATTTGAATTTGAATTCTTTAGGTAAAATGAAAAATAATATATTTTAAAGTAATTTCACTAGTGGATTTTGAGAATTAAGAGAATCATGTGTACCTATTGTTATAGGATAGAAAAACTATTTTCTGTAGAATATCAAAATTTAGCTCAATCAATAACATCGTTGTTATAGATATATAGATATTTTAATAAATTTTTAACCGGTTCTATCGAAAACTTCCTTTTTTGGTAGTTGTGTGATTTTTCACTTTTGTGGGTAAATTCCAAATAACACAAGTTTCAACATTTTACCAATGCTCACAAGTACAAGCAATTAGTCCCTTTTTTTTTTTCTAAATAGTAAAACCTAGAAAATTTCACTATATGTTTCATTTCTATTCTACTATTTGGAGTAATTTGGTTGAAAATGATGTTATGCAAGTTGAACGTTTACGAAAAATATTGTATCACAGTTATAGTTGCCAATTAGATTCGTAGATATGTTGTTGTATGTGTATTAGAGCTATCAAAATGGGTTGGCTCAACCCAACCCAGTCCAACCTTAATGGACTAGAGAGTTAAATGGGTTGGGACGGATTGACCCTTCAACAAAAAAATGAACATTTACTCTCTTAGAAGGAGTATCTCAGAAAATCGAATGTTGACATTTATGAACATGACATCAATACATACAAATTTTCATTTATGAATCTCACACTTCAGTGAATGCTCACCAAAATACATAATAGTCAACGTAAAATTTAGCGAAAAAATATCGATCATTCAACCATTCCTTCCACAAAAAGCTAGTTTAAAAGAGTTGATTTTATTATGTTTTTAACATATTTATTGATAAAACATTTACAAATAACACTACTAAATATATATATATAATTTTTTTAAATATTCATAGTCCACAGGCTAGCCTCTGAGACTTGCGAGTTGGGCTGACGAGGCTAGCGGATCAAGTAAGGCTGAGCTAAAAAGCCTCACTTAGTTCAAGGATTGGGTTAAACCGACCTCGCGGATCAAACCCAATTTGACGGCTCTAATGTCTATACATAGGAACAGAACAGAGAACTCAATAAATACAAGGCCAGGATTTTATTTTTTTTTCCATTTCACTTATATAACACATGAAACTTTTTTATTATATACAGGCCAAACTTCATATTGATGAAATATTTCAATTACATTTTTAGTGGATAAGACTTAAAAGAGATATACAAACAAAAGTTCTTTTTGAATAAATGGGAACCAAAAAATTTAAAAAAAGAACAAAATAAAGAGGAAAACCTGTAGGATTTCACTGTAAATTAATAGTTGAAATAGGCATAGGGACCTAATTCAGAAACTGCTTCCAGTTTCTACAGAATGGCTGAAGGAACACAACCATCTTCTAGCTTCGACGTTTGACGTTGATCGCCTAAAGCTAGGTCGTGAGCATCGAGTCAGATGTTCTCGTTCACCGGTTCTCGGAACTAAGGATGGACTCGTGTCTGGCGTTCCCATACAAAGGCCTGGGCTGAATCTCAATGCTGGGAACTTTTGGCAGCTTAACGAGAGGAAGGAAGAGCCTAGAGGGGAGAGTCGGGAGCAATATAAATCGGGCTTGCATAAAGGTGTTTCTAATGTAGTTGGTTCTTGTCCATCAGCTGTACAGGAACAAAAAGGCAACGACAGACTCGTTCGTGCTGCTTCCTTGATGATTGGTGTCGTATCCGCTAGCTTAATAAATGAAACAATGCCGTGTCGACATAAAGGGCAAGGAATCGAACCTGGAGGGCCGTGGGCTGCGATTGAGGTGTTACTGGTGGAACACAGGTACAATGCACAGTGCGTGCAGAACTCATGAAAACAACCTGCAGAACAGGACAAGCATTCAACTAGACTGGCATATCGGGTAGCAATACCATCACATAAGCTTTCATAGATTGAATATACCATAAAATAATAAACAAACCAAAAAAAACGATAACTCCAGCTAGCACCAAAAAGATCAAAGAGGAACAGTAATCATCATGTTGTCTATATCAATCAATTCACATGTAAATGTGCAGATTTATGTATATGACAACGGCATCGTTAAAAAAGAACTTCCATCTTTGAGCATATTATATATCACGATACTGAAATTTCAAGAACTTCCGGAGTTTTAGTGCCATGTGAAGAAGGAAAACTCTATCCAGCGACGAGTATGTATTCTTGAGCTGGAGAACATCTTTCCTTAGTTTTAAATTTTGTGGAGTTATATGGTCTGAACTCGAGAATATCTCAATAGAGATTAGAGGCTCATCACTCATCATAGGAAATTCGTCAATATACCATTACCATTAGAAAATAGAGTTTGATCTCATTAGACGTCAATTAGAAGTAAAAGAACAAAACAAAAAGTACTATATAAATCTTTATAGTAAATTATGAACAATTTCATGTAGTTTCAGAAGGACATACCTTCTGCAGCAACTGTACACTTCCTTTCCAGACAAACAACACAAGGGTCTAAACAAGTTGACGTAGGGGAATCAATTGTTCTCCATCCACATTCTCTGCAGAAAATGACAACTTATTTTTAGAATTCTCATCCCTGAGCCTTATCACTGTGTTACTTGCACACGGCATACTGAAAGAGAACGATACTGCTTAGTCGCACTTGAATTTAAAGCTTGCGGGACAGCCATCAGCATATTCCAAATACTTTCATCAAAAGGAAGATGCATACCATAAAAGCCAAAGGAAATACACATTTTCCCCCACTTTTTAATATGCCATGAATATTTAGTACCTTCATGAGATGTAAAAGGGTGGTGCTACACAACACAAAGGTTTCGGTAAAGATGCAAGAATTAACAGTCTGGTCACCCTTGGGTTTGGGCCTATGTTGCTCGGACTCTTCATAAATGTCAATAGGTGCATGTTGGATCTTTCAAAAGTAGCGCATCTTTTGAGATCCGACACGGGGATGAGAACATTTTTAGAGAGTCCGAGTAACATAGGTTTGTGGCAAATTCGTCACAATAATTTAATTTTTTTTTCTTTATTCTACCTCGCACCCCACCCCGATAAAAACGAAAAGAATTTTAAGAAAAACAGCATACGTAACAGAACTCCTGGACACAGATAGTCTAAATATCACAATGGTAACGGGATGTAAAGACAAGATATTTTGCTCTGAATGTAGAGTCTTCAGATTGGATACCAATTGCCGATGGTCAATTGACATGAATCTACTTCCATATCGTCACCAGTACATAAACCCTTAAGATGAAATGTCATTATAATGCTAAATCGATGAATGAGCATCAACTAGACCAATATATGCTGAACTGGACTCACCTAGCAATCTTCACTATACTCATAAGAGGGAGGCATAAGAATGGTGAAGGAAGGGGACGTGGTTGTTTTTCTGGACGAGTACTTAAAATCTCCTCCAGCCCATCTCTATGCCATGATCGAGCAACCATCAAAGATGTCCACCTTAAAACAATCACGTAAAGAATATGTAAGTTAGAAGATTTATCTAAAGCCATGATAGAACTACCAGCAGAGTTACTGTACGAGAATAAGACAATATTTATTTGTTTCAAATAATTCAACACCGTAAATATTCTATGTCATCTCTTTAATTCTTACATACGACATGGAATAGCATGATTAGCAGTTAGGTATACTACTTTTAACTCTCCATGGTTGTTCCCTTTTCCTACCTGAAACATCACCATCATTTAGGTAGGAACAAGGAACAATTGATAGTTTAGGTATGTTTTGATAAATAGTTGGTGATAGTTCACATATAGAACTCGAAAAAATGGGATACATTAGGTGTGTTTTTGACCCTCTACTCTACTAATAATAAAATTGACAAGGGAAACAAGACCACACACTTTAGTACATGTTGAAGATGTTAAAGCATGTAAAATATCATACCCATTCACATTTTCTGCATTGAGACTGGCACCCCTGGCAATTAAAAGCTGAAAGATAGGATATAAAATGATGACTTCAGAACTTGCACCGACTATACCAGAAAAATCAGAAAGAAAAGCAAACAGAAGAGGAACAACACCTGGCAACACTGAGCATTCCCACCACATGCAGCATAATGAAGTGGTGTACTTCCTGCACCTGCAAGCAAAGAATTTACCTTTTAGAAGAAAAAAAGAAGAAGACAATATAAACTCTCTTCCTTGATTCATGGCATGAAGCCTCTAAATTCTTGGTGCCACATATCAAGGACTTTTTGAACTGATGCTTAATAGAAGTGGAAACGAAACCTAATCTGCCACCGAACAAGAGTTTCAGGTGGTATCAAGTTCCTATTTGTTATCTTCCTAAAGGGAAGCCCGGTGCATTAAGCTGCCGCTCTGTCTGGGGTTCGGAGAAGGGCCGGACCCCAAGGGTGCGATAAGTGTCGGTCATCTCATATCTGCCTCTTTAATACGTCTTTCTGGAAGATATCGAGTAATATGTGAATATGATGAGCAAGGTCTCTCTCTCTCAAATACAAGAGACATTATCTTCCTTAAGTATGAAATACATCACTCATGATTTACACTAGCTAAAGTGTCAAACAAAAAGCACAACCTTGCAAGGAAATGTCATAAAGGTAATTACTGCACATCATCAAAACTCAGGGCATGACAACCGTGCAACTTCTTCTTTACATACCAGAAACTCCATGAACTAGAGCAAACTAATTTACAAGGTTGTGGGTATTCACATATTTTATCAGGTCGACAGAGTTCGCGTATGCTTTTGAAAATGGAAACATGTTTTACCCTTCTGGTAAAAGACTCTACTCAATAAATGATTGCTATAGCTAATTTTGCTTTGAATGGAGTAACATGGTCAGTGAGAAATTCATAAAGACGACCGGAACTTGTTGGGACTAAGGCAAAGTTGCTGTTCGATAATTCTGCTTCTTCTTCTTTTTTAAAAGCACACTGAAGAATATCAATATATCATTTTCCATCGGAAATTGATATTGCCTGTTAAAAACTATAATTATTCAGATCTTCCAAAATGGGGACTGTTATTGTAGCATTATCAGTAAATGTGTAACTTTTAGGACAATTCTCTCATAAAGACCACGAGAAACGCATTAAAACAGTCAATCATACATCTCATAGTTTCCCTCAGAAGGAATAAAGTTACAACATGATATGTAAAAGATGGCAGATAGGCATTAACAAATTGAGGGAACAGATAATAAGAAACAATTTAGCAATTATCAGCATTTACACAATCTTTAAAAAAAATAATTGTGGGGGTGGAGAGGGGAAGGGAATATGCACAAGGAAAGAAGGCATTCAAGAGATCAAATGTGATATAAGAGTTGCATACTAGGAAGAACTTGAAAAGTTGTCTCACCTATCAAATCAATTGTAGTCCCATCCTCCACAGTAACCTTGGTGACCGAAGCCCCCAAATCCAAGAGTAGTTGCAGACTTTCCACATGGCCATTCAGCGCTGCCATATGAAGGGCGGTAATGCCACCATCAGCAGGTCTATTGATCACCTCATGTAGTGCACTACCGCAAGCACAAAAGAACTTCACGTTAATACAGTTTGGTAGCAGAGGGAGATGACCAAAAATCAAATGCAAAGCTTGAAAAAAGAGATTTACAAGTCATCGAATTCTTGGATAGAGTCTTCGTTTTTTGATCTCTTTCTCATGACATTGCAGAAATTAGGGATGCTGGGAATATAATCAGCAAGGAGAAGCCGTATACATCGAGAATGTCCATTTAGAGCAGCTAAATGAAGTGATGTACCCCCGTTGAGATAATCAGCCTTATGAATCTACAATATAATGCAACTGTAAGTAGAGCTTGTGACCAATCTTAACACTCTCCAACTACTCTAGAAAACCAGGACAGTTGAAATTTTACAAGGTAAGAACACTCTTAGTAGTTATAAGTAATCAAATTGAATATACCGCAGTAAAAAACTGTCATACATTGGCCATGAAAAGAATGAGAATCTGAACGACTTCCCAGTGACCATACTGACATGCTTGCATCAAAGCAGTCTGTTAACCATAAGACAAAATACTAGTTTCAATCAACTAAGAAGAATTACGAATAACATAAAGAATTGTGCTTGAGATTAAAAAAATAAAACCAAAAAAAGGTAATGAGAAAAAAATCTACCTGTCCACGGTAGTTTCTGAGATTGATGTCAACTCCAGACTCAAGCAAGAGACTAACAATCTGATAAGCAAAAGAACAGTCAAATGATCGTACAAAATCCACTAAGTGCTGAATTTAACTATGTCATAATTAAGTTTATCTTCATATCCATCACGAATAATCATTGAACTCTAAATATACCTCATGATGTCCTTGGGCAGCAGAGTAATGGAGGGGTGAATTTCGAACACCAAAAGTCGAATACCTCACTAGCCGGGGATTATAATCCAGTAAAGCCTTAGCTTCCTGGATATCTCCATCTCTAGCTGCAGAAACTAACCGCTCGCCTGACGCAGAGCATCCAAATGAATTTCCCACAAGGCTCAAAAATCTCATAGTTTTCGGATATCGTTCTGGCATGATGTTTAGCAGAAGATAAGGAACACAATGATCCTTAACCTTAAACTATCCCCTTCTGCACACAAATTTCCTTCTTTTCTAACAAACTAATAACAACAACCCCACAACTAAACCTTCCTTACACATAATTCTCAAAGTCAAATGGATTTTTAACAAATCCAAGAACCCCTTTCAACACCTCAAAACCAATATACTTTCTGACTTGATCAATCAATCAATCAATCAATTAACAAATCAAATAGACAAATTTCTCTATATACAAATATATGATATGTACTATGTTGATGGTGACCAATATCAAAAAACATAAAGGGGAAAAGGACTTTGTCAACTTGAGGTAAAATAAAATTACCTGAGCTTATGAAAAACCCATAAAAATCAAATCTTTGATCACTTTTTCACCTTTTTCTTGATTGTAAATGTCACAAATCCTCCAACTATTTCAAGATTCCTCAATAACCCCACCAAATTTTCCCAGAAAAATATCAAATATTTCCAGGAAAATTTATCAAAGAGTGAAACTTTCCACCCCAAATACACAAAATATGCTAATACAACCAAATGGGAAGATAAAAAACCTCAATTTCCTTGATGGGGTTCACTAAAAAAACATTTTTTTTAAATCCTCAAGAACCCCACAAAAAATCAAGATTAGCAAATACCCACATCCAAATTTTCCCAGAAAACAAGAAAAAATAATCTCCCAGAAAAAAAAACCCACAGAGACTCTCAAAATTTCCAGGAATTTGCAACAATTTGGGAGACAAAAACCAATTGGGAAAGTTGAGAGCCTCACGTAAATGAATTTTTTTTTTTTAATTTTATTCACAAATACCAAGAAGGACAATGATCTGCCAAGAATCTCTCTTTTTTCTTTAATTAAAAACTTAATTTAATTCCTTTTTTTTGCATAAATAAATTCTTTAACACCCAATGTGCTGAAATGTAGGTAGATATAGTTATTCATTAAAAAAAATATGAGATGATGGTAAAAAAATAAAATAATAAATCTAACGTATTTACTACCTTTCTATCTAAATTATAAGATCGAACTGTCACCAATTATTTATAATTATACAATTCGATTAGTATATGATGTTGTGTCGTATACTTTCTACTTATTAAATAACATTTCACGTAGATAATTAAGAAATTAGTTGAAAATTTTAAAAAATGATTAAAACTTCGCGAGAATTCTACTAGAGATATCATCTATTTGTATTTTTTTTTAAATGTAAATTATCATCACCTATTTTTAAAAACATGTGTCAAAATTAATGAATAAGTTGTTATATAGACGAAGTTTTACGTGCATATTAAAACTTGTCTCACGTTTTTCGATGAACGTGTTCAAATACTTGATCTGATCAATATTTCGAAGTGTATATTGATAAACAGTTGGTAATAATTCAGATAAAAAATACCCAACACCTTGATGGAGTAATTTAGATGTGAAATTTGAAAGAAAAAAAAATATAATACTTTAAATGATATATTTGATTATTAGATCATATAGCAAAGTGCTTCTTCAATGACTTTACGTAACATTAATACATATATCAAATATCGAGTAAAAAAATAGAAAGAAAAAAACATGATAAAAAGTGAGACAACTATTTTGAGCGGACATATAAAAAAAAAAAACATGCCTACAACAAAGGTGTGTATTTCATCATTGGGTTGTTTGGACTAATAATGCCAAGTCAATATTTTGCTAGTTATTTTGTCTTTTTCTTTTTGTCAAACTATTTTTTTATTAGAGAAATATATAAAATGATATTTTGGTGATTATATGCTATTTTATTATATATGGTAAATTGATAATGATTTTAATTACCATTTGTCTGAGTGGTTTTTTTTTTTATTCAGTCTACCTATTTATATTGAAGTGCAATGGTGTTAGATCCATCCGAAATATGATCGCGTACGACCTTATTTAAAGGAAAGCGTTCCCTACTAAAACATTGTATCATACCTAAAACTCGAACGTGAAATCTCTTAATAAGTGAAGGAGTATTCCAATTTACTACACTACATACTCTGGTGTTGAATTACCTATTGCATTATATTGTGTTAATTCCTTGCTAAACCCCAAAAAGATATAATCAATAGTAGAAAGAAAAGTTTTTTCAAATGTTTTGTCAAGACATGATCATGTTTATTTAGTATATGTGCCTTTTTGATATGTTTTTTTTTAGTCGAGAATTTTTTGGAACAATTTTTTTATTTGACAAAATAAGATAAGAATTTTAGATACTTTATCCTCTTCAAACGTCACTCGTTAAATCACAGTAATATATATTGTTAATGTTGTTATTTAGAAAGAAAAAGATTCAACCAAACGATGGGAAGAATTAATCAACCCTTGTATATACTACAAAAGTATAATTTTACCCCATTAATTAACGTAACTAAACTTTCACCTACACAGAATCATCTAATGAAGAAGAATTTAATTTTAGTATTCATAAATAATTTATCTAACATTAATAAAGAGAATTCTGTTTTTATAATCAAAGATCAAATGAAAATAACATTTTTTTATCCTATAAAAATAATAGTAACATATGCATATATCTTATTCTTCGTATTTTCCAATCTGTGAGTTCACAATGAGTATGTTATTATTACCGTAAAGAAAATTTTTATCCAAACATATATAGAAATCAATATTAAACTAATTTTTTTTTACTATTTATAGGCTAAACAAATGGATTAAGTGTGATTATGGTTTAGTCCACAAGTGATTTGATCGTGTTGAAAATAATGTTTTGGCAAGTCAACCTCTTGGTTAAATTTGGTCATGTTTCGATTACCTTGAGGCGCGAAGGAGATATATATACGAGTAGTTAAAAGAGTCGATATTGAAAATCGAGCTATATATTGTATTATATTAGGGGAAAAAAGAACATTTTTAACTTGTTGATTAGTTAAATAAATTCTAACTTACGATCAATTGATTAACAATAGATCATTTTATCACTTTGTTATTGATGAATTAAGAGACTCAATCTCCTTTTTTTTCTTTTTTGATTTTTCATCAATGTGTGACACAGGCTGACTAACTTTGGAATCATGTTCGAAAGTTCAATATTAAAGCAAAATGCTTTTTAATAAAGGTAATTTTTTATGCGTGAGTTGAATTAAAAACATCTAGCTAACAATAAAAAATTATTTACCATTCCAGTATAACTCATGTGAATCCGTTTGGTCAATGTTGATCAACTCTTAAGTTTAATTTGTTCTATAGATGATAATAGTTGAATTTGAAAAAATAAGATAATTGATTATTATACAATTCACACAAAACAATAGAAAAACTAATATTTTTAGTGAATATGAAAATTGCGGAAAAATAATAATTTAAAATAGGGAAAATTGTATAAAATAACAAACTAATAACCTAAATTAAATAGAATAGCTAGGGTTTGATTTAATTGTGCTCCATAGCAAACATTATATAAAATTTGCCAGCGTCCCTCTCCCAGGAATCTCGCTCGCCACTCTCCATTCTCGCTCGCCTCTCTCGCTTTATACACAGAAGTGTATAATTCTGATTCTGTTTTGTATAAAGTGAGAGAAAATTGTATATACACATGCAAAAATGTATATCTTCATGTTATACACTTAATTATACAATTTACAAACATTTTACTTCAAAAATTGCAGAGAAAAAGGCCAACGAATTATACAATTGCGAATTGTACAATTGCAGTGAAATACAATTTTCTCTAGCTTTATACAACAGAAGTGTATATATTGTGTTTCTGTTTTTGTATAAAGTGAGAAAAACATATATCTTTTTGCTATAAACTTATAATTATGCAATATACATACATTTTAATTCGATTCAACTATATGCAAAACAAATTATACAATTGCAGCGAAATAGGCCAGCGAATTATACAATTTAGGCCAGCGAATTATACAATTTAGGCCAGCGAATTATACAATTTAGGCCAGTGAATTATACACTTGTATATGTATAGCGAATTATACAGTTTTTATGTTTGCTATGGAGCGCAATAATGCAAAGTTTGCTATATTATACAAATATGAATTTTTTGTTTGCTATATGTGAAAGTTGCCCTTTAAAATATGGCCATGACTCATGAGCTAATATGGTGTTTCTTGATTATTTATTTCTCTATGATGTTATCTATAGTTATTATAAAACTTTTAATTTAATACTTAGGATTTAATTATACACTTATTGAATAATATATGGTATCTTCACCAATCATGTTTTGTTGACTTTATTTAGGTAGCAATAAATGATAAGTCTAATTAGTTATTAGAAAATGACTCGAAAGAGGGAATAACACTATATCGTAAGTTAAAAAAGTGTGTAAAATTATTTTAAAAAATAAATTTGAATAGGTAATAGGACTTTAATAAAATTACAGCGTATAAAGACTTTCGCATAAATGTGCACAAAATCTTTCGTTCTTTATCAATGTTCTCGAGTTGAAGCTCTAAAAATAGAAAAACCTCTGATAAGAAGAGTTCTCCCCCAAGGTGATGATTTAAAACTTGCGAAAAGAGTGTCATAATCGAGTAAGAGAAAATTTTAGAATTAAACATGTCTCTGCTATCTTGGTCAAATCAATAATATTGGGCAATATCCTCATACTCAAGTAAAGTTTCAAAGCAAAATCATTAAGTTTTTTTCTTTTAATATCCTCAATGTCATGTCCACATCGACTAATTTATTGAGTAATGAATACACGTCACTTCCTGTCAACACAAATTCAAAATAAAATTGCTTACAAATACTTAGAATGATGTGAAGAAATTATCTATATTACTCTGTTGAAAATCGGACGATGATCTGTCGTAATTTTTGTCTCATTTCATTAATCACTAGGCCAAATACTTCGATGCAAGCTTAAGATTTTGAGAACAATTCACCTTTTTTCTTTATTTGAAAATAATTCATTTAATAAGAAGTTAAAAATGGAACTTACTCAAAAGGAATCCATAATTAAACTAATGGGCTTTAGCCCATGTTAATGGGCCGGGACATGTTTGTACTTGGGCCCATAAATTAAGTCTTAATTATTCCAAGTAATCAAGTCATTAATTTGAGTTTTATTGGGCCTTAATATATTTCCAAGCTTTCTAAGGAACTAGGGGTAAAATTCACAAATAGTCATTTTTCAGCTATATTTGAGCCGAGGGTCTGTCAAATATCATTTCTATATACACACTTAAGGATAACTTCTATGTACATCCACCCTCCCCGGATTCATTATGGAATTATGTTGGATATGTTATTGCAGTCATTTTTCAACTACTGTAATATATAATAGTTAATACTATGGAGTTTCGAGTTTTACAAGTGAAACTCCAATATGATAAACTGAGTTTCACGACATAATAAGAAAGTTCACTTGTAGTTACGCATAACCCTCGTAAGTAAAAATAAATAAATTATATTTACTAATTACTAATAATTATTTCAAATATTTAGTTTTAATTATCTTTAATAGTGTCAATGTGTGTACAAAACAAACCCTACATATATAGTAATAAGTAAACAATATTGGAAAATCAATCCAAAATGACTAATGTAGGGTCACTAATTTCCTAATCCATCAAATAACCAATTTGATTAAGTCAATTAATTAGCTAGTTTGATGGAAAATTGAAGTATTTGACTTATTATTACATCAAGTCAATTAATGTAGAAACAATTAGGTGACCATTATATGTCATTAACTCTATTTTACTAAAATTGACTATAGAAAATTGTTTTTTTTATTTGTTTGAAATCCTAACAATGTGGAAAAATCATTGGAAAATCTATGACAGGTGCACTATTTAGAAAGTATTTAGTTTTTGGCTAATTAGTTCTAAACCTAATTGGATTAGGTTTAAATT